GCCCACTTCAGATTCTTGCACTGTTGATTTTGCATCTCTATATGTATGCAAGGGGCTGATGGTTCATTTGGATGATAAACTCCTTCCCTTAGAGGGAGGTCTGAAACTTTCAGATGGCAAATATAATGGCCAGACACTCATTTGATCACAGAGTAGTTCTCACTCTCAACAGTTTTTACTTACCTACATTACTAGTCAGTCAGTCAATTTTAGTTTGTGCTGTAAGTAGAGTTAGTTGCAGAGTTCTTCATTGATGTTGATGTCCTTGTATGTTTCATTTCCATCCAGTGGTCTTAGGTCTAGTAGGTCTTCATCTTCTGTGACCAAATCACTGTCTTCTGGTTCTGCATCTATGACAGTCACACCTGCTATGTTCATGTGTGCCTCAATAGTTGCACTTATGTTTTCTTCCCTCTCCAAGTACCTCTTCAACAGATTTGTGTGGTAGATCTTTGTCTTCCCATCCACTTTTACCTTTTAGTCCATTCTGTTGACCACTTCCTACATCTGAAAAGGTCCTTTCCACTGCAGAGTGAGTTTGTTGTTATTTGTGGGTAGCAAAATTAAGACCTTCTGTCCAACCTTGAAATGTTGATCCTTGGCTTTCTTGTCATACAAGTGCTTCTGTCTTGAGCTGCATACAGGCTCTCTCAAATGAGTGACACGTCTCCTTCAGTTGGTTTCTGAGGTCTAGCATGTACTAGTATGTATTCCTCATTTCTGACTCTTTTTCTTCTGTCCACAACTCTTTCAATATCTGCATTGGAACTCATACTGTTCTTCAATACAGCAGATCAAAGGGTGAAAATATTGTACTTGCTTGTGAGACTTCTTGGTAAGCAAATAATACTGTCTGCAGTACTTGTTCGAGTCATGTAGTCTCTCCTGACACATTTCTTCAGCATACTCTTTAAGACTGTTGACTCTATCACAATGTCCATTACATCTAGGGTTGTATGGGGTGGTAAAGAGTTGCCTAGTCCTGATGAGTCTGCACTCCTCTTGCATCAGTTCTGAGGTAAATTGGATCCTTTTGTCAATCAAGACTTCTTTTGGGAAGCTTATTCTGCAGAATACTTCCAGGAGGGCTTCTGCTACTCTTTTTGTCTTTATCTTTGGCAATGCTATGGCTTCTGGATAATATGTTACATAGTCAGCACGTACTGATTGTCCTTGTCAGAAACAAGTACTAGTGATCTGATCAAGTTCCCAGCTACTTTCCTGAATGGATCTTCTATGAGAGGCACCTCAATCAGTGGCACCTTGGCTATTTTATCTCTAGGTATTGTCTTTTGGTAAATGTCACATGACTTGCAGAATCTGGTCACATCTCCGATTAAACCCGGGCAATGGAAGTTACTGATGATTCTGTCTGCCATCTTCTTTCCTCCTAGATGTCCTCCCACAATCAACTTGTGAGCCACATTCATCAATTGTGTCCAGTATTCTGTTGATACTATATCTGTTTAACTTCCCCAGTAGAACTGCCTTGATAGATTCATTACACTGCTTCCGTTTGATCCTCTTTTCTCTTGGTCCTCTTCCATTTGGTCTTTCTTCCAGGCATTGTCCCAAAGTTTCTGTAGTGAAGGAACTTTCTTCTGTGCTTCCTTCAGTTCCCCTGAACCTACATTCAAGATGTCACATTTTGAGACTTGTGGGGGCTTGAAGTCTTGCTTGCTCTTCTTCTCTTGAGATCTTGTGGTGACTGCAGGTGCTTCATCAGCCTTCTTTCTGTCTGGATCCTCCAAACTTCTATTGCCTGATATATTGCTAATCACCAAGTTGTAGATGGATGCCTTCATACACTCAAGGTCTCCCATATAGTATGGAGTGTCCACCTTTATTCTTGCTCTGGGAAACTTTCTTACTGTTCCTTCAGTCAGGACAAATAGGTGTATCTTGCCTCCATTTGGTCATGAGATACTAGACTAGTTCTCACTGCTGCACTACTACACTCAGTGTTTTGTAGGACCTTTGCTTTCCTGTTGCTGACATAGCCTTCACCTACTGGCATGTTGTGATTTGTTGGCACCTCTTGATGTTTGTCACGTGTTCGAATCACTACTGGCACTGTTGACCTGTTTGCTAACTTGAGCTGACAATCAGTCATGCACTGTTTGATTATGGAGATAGCAGTTCCTTCTTGGGGTGAATTGTGTGTGTTGTCTCTATTATGTTTCTTCTGGCAGTAACATTCGTAGTGATAGTCACTCTTTTCTTGTAGGTAGCTCCATCTGCTTTATGTTGAAATTTCTGATGTTGCTTGTTTGTGACAGACTTGCACTCATTTGCAATATGCTGTATTTTATAAGAAGCATAGCATCTCTTCTCTTTTTTGTCTGTTAAGTTCTTGTCACTTTTGGTGGCATCCTGCTTCTGGTCAGTCACTGCTGGTTTTGACTTTAACTGCTTATTCATGGATTTGCCTGTTATACTCCCTTCATGGCTTCCATATACTGTTCTACCAGCTTGATCATCTTGTCCATGTATTTTGGTGCTGTCTCATTTAGGAACAGTGACATGTCAGTGGAGCAAGTGATCATGAACTGTTCACATATTATTAGATTTGCCAGCGTCTCAAAACTATTTTCACACATGGCCATATCAGTCCATCTGGTAAAGAATTGCTGTAGACATGCCACAAACTGAAATACAATTTCTCCAGTGTCAGGTTTGACTTCTCTGAATTTCCTAAGAAAACCTTCTTTGGTAAGTTCATAGTATTTCAGCAAGACCACTTTTAACTTATCATAGTTCATGGCATCTTCTGACATCATGCCAGCATACACTTGGAGAATTTTTCCTGTGAGAAGTGGGCTGAGATAGACTGATCAGTTATCTTTGTCTCAGTTATGACATTGGGTGAGTCTTTCATACCTTTCCAGATAGCATGGGTGAGTCTTTCATACCTTTCCAGGATAGCATCCATGTCATCGTTCTGTTCATCAAATTTGGGCAGCTTGGGTTGGCTGGCCCTGATACCATTGTTATTCTTGGGTCCTTCGTCTTTTTGTTGATGAGCTAAGGCAATCTCATTTTGTGCTATTATACTCTGTAGTTCCAGTCTTTCCTTTCTCTCCTTTTCTTCTTACTCTCTTTAGGTCATGCTGTTGTTTAACAAACTCTTGTAGATCACCATCTTTGAGCTGAATTCACTCACCTCTTTCCATCCATTTATCAAAGTCAGTTGACATGGTGTGGTTGTGAACTCTTCAATATTTTAGCCACCACTACAGCTGTGTGTATATAGGCCTATTTCCACTGTCATGCACGTCTTCTTCTACCACTGTTTACCACTGTATAGGCCTGGCTGGCTTCCCAATGTCAGGTTTTTACTTGTGTGTGGGTCAGATTCTTTACAGGAGGTGTCTGTGACTTGTATATTTCAATAATAAACAATTCAATTGTTTTAAAATAATATATTCCAAACAAGTCAAATGTATATACAAATTTTCATTACACAGTTAATCACCACAGTTGTATCTAGAGTTTTAAATAATCATCTTTTTCATCAATAGTCCACACAGGTTGGTTCAGTTACTTTAGAACCCAATTCACAAGACAAATTATTCTCCTCTACACTGTTATTACAGTACAATCTGTGATAAATTCACTTACGTTACCCTGTGGATTACCACAGTTGTATCCAGAGCTTTAAGTAATTCTCTTTAATGTCAATAGTCCACACAAGTTGGTTCAATTACTTTAGAACCCAATTCATAAGATGCATTATTCTTCTCTACACTGTTGTCACATTACAATCTGTGATAAATTCACTTATGTTACCCTGTGGATTACCACAGTTGTATCCAGAGCTTTAAGTAATTCTCTTTAATGTCAAAAGTCCACACAGGATAGTTCAGTTATTTTAGAACCCAGATGACAAGACAAATTCTTCTTCTCTATCTCTGTTGTTGTGATACAAGTTGTGAAACTCTCTTCAAAATCACCACTATAACTGTTGGTTATCACAGCTGTAAACAGAGCTTTAAATAATTGTCTCCTTTTCTTGAAAGCCCATACAGGCAGGGTTTAATTACTTTAGAACAACCTTTGACGAAACAAATTATTCCGTTATTACAGTACAGTGTGCAATTATTACACTTTAAAAGTTGCCACTATACACATTTTATAGCTAAACTTACAAACAAGGTCTAGATCTATTTTACTATATCTCTCACTAACTTTGTTTTACTTTTGATTTCACTAACTTACTTACTTGCACTAACTTGGTCGCCTAGAACTTTCAACAAACAACGGGATGTTATGATCTAACAATACTCACATAAAGCAATGAGAAAAATTCAGAAGGTTCAAGTAACATGACGTCAATTCACAATAATGGAACTACACAAAAAATTATTTGTAAAAAGTTATGTAAGCAATCTTGCCATAACTATCTTTAAAAAACAAACAAACAAAACCTACCTTTATGCTCGCACAGTACAATATATACTCAATTATATTCTCATGTTAAAATTAAAATGAACAGTAGAGTATATCTAACATGGCATCTGTAATACAGCTGTACATGTTATTAATTTATAGTGTATACTCAAACTTTCATATCTAGCATACTTAAGTATACGTACTTATTATGTACTGTATCTTGATTTAGTTTTATCATTGCATCATGTTTTATATGTGTAATGAATAACAAAAAGTTGCAAGTGCACACATGCAAGCTGATGCTTTCAGCTTCAGGATGGATTTTTTTGTGTGCATTAGATTTTATGATATCACGTTATTTTGATAGAAGAATAATTTGTATTTACTTAAGAGAGAACGACAGTTAAAGTTAAAATGAATATAAATTTGTTGGAATAGACAAATTAAAAAAGTTCAATTTTTTGTGCTTTTCTGTGGTTGCTATTTCAAGACAATTGTTTGAATTAGTGAATGCAGCACTTTTGTAAAGAAAGATATACAGTGTGCTGTTACATTACAACTTATCTTTATACTTAGCAGTAGTAGTTTTTGTACTTATGATTCTATGTATTTTTTTTTTTCAGCTTGTTACGATTCAACGTCAGGTCTTTGACTTTCTGGGGTACATGTGGGCCCCCATTATAGGCAATTTCTTCCACATTATAGCTGTGATATTAGGTTTTTTTTGGAGGTTATCATTATCGTCCTAAGTATCTAACAGTGGTGAGTGCAAGTTTATGAAATTTATATTTAAACTATAAGTTTGGGAACTTTGAGAAATGAATTAACCCAGAATTTGTATTGTGTGTATATATATACACACACACAGTATATCTTTACATTTGCAATGTCAGTATTGTACTTCTAACATTGTACTTTCAGAATTAAAGATGATTGTTTCAGTACAGGATTTGCTATCTATCTTAAAACAGCTAAACTGGAGTTTTTAGTGTTTGTCATGAATAAATAGTTGAATAATTTAACAAGTCATATTTCTTATTATAGAATAATAAAGAAACTTATACAGAATGTAAGTCAGTAAGAGTACCATCTCCATTACATGTACTTCATTAGCAGGAGGCAAATTAAAAATGGGAGGGTGGTGGTATTTGACTGAGCAAAGTGAGGGAATGTGTGCCACAGACACATCCGTTATGGCTTAGGACCCTTGAAGCTCTTGGGTTCTGGATTACATTTTATACATTTGCCTGCTCTTCCTGGGAGTAATTTTCCTAGTTTTGATGTATTTCTACTGTGATGCATTAAATTGATTAGCTCTTTGCGGTGCTTATTTTAAAATGTTTAGTTTTGTTCATGTATGATACAGTGATTGGTCAGATTGAAGAAACCTTTAATGTTGATAACGTGAGAGAAAAAATAATACCTAGTAGTGAACAACGTTAGATGGCTGAATATGATAAGAAAAAAAAAGTACTCATGAGGATAGTATTCTAAATTTAATTGCAGATCAAATCAAATAAATGTAAAAAAAAATCATAATGTAAAAAATGCCATCTATAATATCTATGATGTATCATTAACATTAGCTTGTACCAATGTTTTAATGGAAAGTAATAAGAATTATGATGACAATAATAATAATAATAATCAACAGATATTTGGATAAGTTTATTTTACTTTAATCTACTGTAAATTTATATTCATGAATGTTCATATGTAAAGATGTAATTTATTGTTATTGTAGTGTGAGTAATATATTCTAATATTTTGTCTTTTGTTTGCATATATATATTTCTCTTCCCAGTACTCAGTATGGATGTGGATATGGCTGGGTTGGAATATATTCACCATTTGCTTTTATTTAGAAGTAGGAATGTTAAGTAGGGTGAGTATCCATGCAAGTATCTCAGTTTGAGGGGTTTTTTTGTTTAATTGTTTTAATAAAACAACATTAGCTTAAAATGATTTTGTATGTGGTCCTTACTTCTTTGAACAAAGCTCAAACATGATAAAATTAAAATAGTCTTAATTTTATATTATCACTGAATCCATTTTTGGGGGTACTAAAGATAAAGTTTCAGATTCTATTAGTGTGATAATTTAGCTCTAGCTTGCCAGAACTTAAACTAGTAGCCACATGGTTCTGTAAACCTTAAATATTTTGCTTTACTTAATATTATAATTTTTCTTATGTGATATTTACTTCTATTCTTTTTACCAGGATTCTGATATTTTAAACATTGGAACAGAAAGCAGGAGCTGGTGGGAAGTGAATGGTATTGGTTGTCAGCCCATGTACAATTTCACACGTAATACAGAAAATCATGTTTTATTTTCCAAACCTATTTCTGTTGAAGGTTGTCTTTTGGAATACTACTATGTGGAATGTATTCAAGCTGGTATCCAGTGCCTTTTAGCAGTAAGAAAAAGTAGCATTTTGAAGTTGTTTTTTAATAGAGGTTAATTGGGAAAATTCCCTAAATTTTTTGGTATCACAAAATTTTATTTTCAGTTTAAGGTTTTATTTTAAAACATTTTATCATTTTAAAGTCACATTTTTTAAAGAGCTATGTTATTTATTTGTTAAACCAAAGCCTTATTTTAATCATCTAAAATATACAACTTGTCCAAAAGTTATGTCCTAGAATATAAAACAGTATGTTAACACATGGGCTTGTCTAACTTCCAAAATACGTTAGCTTTACAATAGTCATGCATGTTAGGTTTTATAACACGTGTCTAATCTCAGTGATTACACAATGCAGCCAGCAGTACACACAAAAAGTAGTGTACTTGGGACAGAATATGTGGACTGCCTGTGCGGATGCTCATGGGTGGGATGAGAAAGTGTTGATATATTTTTGATATGACCACATCGAATAGTGGAATACCACAAGGACACAGATGTGGGCATAGTCAATAGTCTTTATTTTCAGGGAATGATTACTGTTCACATTGGGTAAATTCCTGTTGATGACTATGAATTTGTTGTTACAATTGACAACAGACTGAATATGACGCATCACAATTATGTGTTATATTTGCAACATGGTACGAATATAATAAGAACCTAGTTTTGTTATGAGTAATATTTATATGAAACCATATTAAAGAATTCAAACAGGTAAAGTAAGTATAAAGGACAGTATTTTATGATTGGTAAATAACAACATTATCATTGATACAACTTGTTCTGTTATTGTACAATTTTACAACTTAGCTTCTTTGTATTTCAATGTCTTAACAATAGAAAGCTAATTCCATTGCACAAGCAAATTTTAAATAAGAGTTTATGAAATATGCTGAACCAATGTTTGTGACATTCTCAGTAATAAGTTCAATTTTTTATAAACTTCAAAAAGTTGCTAATTCTATTATATTGACATACTATGTTCTAGTATTATAGTAAAACATTTTGGTTGAAAAAGGCATTCATTACTGCATATAACAGTTTTTTGTTTTAGTGTTTTAAGTAAAGATTTTATGTGCAATAGTGAAAAAGTTCATAAGCTTCATAGAAAATATTTTTGCTTTAAGAAAAATGTCTAATGTTTTTGTATAGAATATATATATGTGTTGAATTTTTTGCTGACACTTATTATTATGGATATTATTGATACTCTAGTATAAATGAAAAAATCTTCATTAGAGTGAATTATGTGTAACTAAAGAAAAATATGTAAACTATTAAAAAATGCTGTTGAGACAGAAAGGAATGTGATGTCAGTCACATCTGTGTTCTGGTCACTGCTTAGTTTTGTTGTCCATCTTGAATATTTAGTTTCTACAGCTCATTATGTGTTATTTATTATGCATCACATTTTTTTTTTTTTCCTTTTATTATAATATAAGTAAGGTACATTTTTCTAGATAAGATTATAGTGTTGACAGTAGAGAATCAAACTGCACAAGTTTCCTTGGAAAATAATGTGGTGATGATATATTGATTTGGAAGAAAACTATATCACATTTTTATAAATTGTGTAAAAACCTAAAAGTGTAAGATGCTATTTCATTATGCTAAAGTGAATATAAATAGGTATATTTGATTTATCTGTGGTCAACTTATTTACTTAAAATAACTTGAAACTGAGGATGAAAAAATCTTCCTACCTTAATACATATATTTTATACCAATTCAGAAATGATGTAAAAATGCAGCCACTGAGAACATCAAAGAAGGAGCAGTGCATAGTTTTAATGTTTTGCAGCTTCTGCTTCCATTATCATTTAAGAGTACAAGTAATACATGAATATTCATGTGAAGATATATTTACCACATTTGCTGTTGTCAAACAAAGTATTGTTGATTGTTGCCAGAGAATTTAAACTTGGATTCAACTGTAAAGAGCACACATCTCCAACTTTGCTCATTTCACTGTCTATGCATGAAAAATCAAAGTCATTTACATTGAAAAGGCAGTACTCTTAGTGTTTTAGGATGGCATTAGTTGAGCATCAAACTGAGAAAAAGTACATTCATAAAAATGCTGATAAATTGTCATGATATAGTTTAATTGGTACTGATGAATTTGGTCTGTTGATATACATTATGTGTTAAAGTCTTAAATGTGATTTTTGTTAAAGGTAAGTGTTTGCAAAGGAATGTCTTAAACCAACTTAAGTAAGAATGAAGAGCTGATACATTTATGCTTTTTATTTTAGGTGCTAGGTTTTGTCGGAGCTCTTACAACTCTTACGCTCTGTACAGAAGAGGATGATACTTGTAAGTTCTGAAATTTGAAAATTAATTTTTTACTGTGCTTAACTTTGCTTTTGAAAAATTCATAGTGATGTAAAAGTTGCTGTGTTCTTTTTTTTTCTGTTGAGTCAAATTACTAGTATCAAAGTGCATAAAAAGATAGTCTGATAGAACACTGCTTCAAAGAAACTTGTGTGTGCATTTGGATAGAAAGAGTTCTTTCCTATAAACATGAAATCTGATATTTATATTCTGTTACATTTAACGGCATAAATAACTTTTTTGCAAGATTGAAAGGGCATTAAGAAGTACAATTCTTAACCTTTCTAAAGTATTAGAAGAAAATATTCTCCAAGATCAAGGTTTATTTGCAATCATCATTAGATCTTATTTCTTGAAAGAAACTTAAAAGTTAGGAAAGTGATATTCTAAAATTTAAAATAGTAATTTAAAAAGATAACGATAAAGACTTTGTAGAATACGTTTCACTATCCATTTTGGATTTTGAAGAATAAACTTTCCTTAGCAATGTCTTATAAATTAGTGGTTTATGAAAAATTAGTTGTTTTATGCAGTATAATGTTTTAATCATTCTTGAAAATTTAAAAAAGGCAGGGTTGTACTGTAGGGTTTCCCTGATGCCAGTTTTAGATCTTTGGGTAGCTCAGCATATTACTTGTAAGATATGTAAATTTTGGATTCTATTTGTTGTTAATTTCAAAAAAGAAGTTTCTGTCAATTAGGAATTTTAAATTTAACATTAGTCTTGCACATTGTAACTTTATTCCTTAACCGCTGAAATGATTCATATTGATCTGGCATTGGGATACTCATTTTAAAATCACTAACTGTTCAGATTTCTAAGAAATTATGTTTTTAACTCTCTGTCTTCTCTGTCTCTTTTCTAGTTGATTTCATTGGTGGGTTTGACACTTACACAGCCTATCATTCTCCCAACAAGACCTCTCACTTGCACCTCCAGCCCATGTATGTAAATAATGTTTAGTTTGTTATTTATATTGTCTTGTTTTGTTAAACTAACAGCATGGTGTACTTATTGTTTCTAATCTATTTTTACCTCCCTCTCATTTTCTGTCATATGATTGTTACTATGACATAAAGAATAAACAAACATTCTCACCACATGGATGGTTTTGGTATGCTTTCCTTTTATGGCTTCTTTACATTTCATTTTACTGGTTTATGATGTTTAATGGTGAGGGCCTTTCGCTGCATCTGCTTATGGTCCACGAGACTCATTTTGATGCTGAAATTTTCAGAACAGGATAGTTGATTCTGCACTGTTAATCTGTGTGAAGTTAATTTTTTAGTTTATTTCCAGACATTTCTTTTGTATTTTTTATTCTTATAGTATGCAAATTAGCCACAGTGGTAATTTTACACAACATGTGCCAAAATATGCCTTTGTACCTACTTCAATGTATTTTTATACAAAAAAAGAATAGTATGAAGTTGTTTTTTCTGATAAAAAGACCAAAACCTAGATAACACTAAATGACTATATAAAGGGTATATGCTACCATAAGGATCCTGAATTTTAGAGAAGTAGGGAAGATGTTGTATTGTGTTGCAATTGAATGCCCTTGCCCAAATTACTGAGGTTTCGTAACGAAAATGAGGTTAGAGAGTTGCGTTAGATTTTTTTAACTCAATGTATACCAAACTTTTTTGTTGAGGATGTAACTTTGGTTCCACCTGGGAAAGCTTGTGTTCCATTAAGTGCTCTTCTTTTCAAACTTTCGAGGATAGGCAGATACCTGTAGCTTTGCATCACTGTAAGATGGCCTATCACTGTTATCGAAATGATTGGCCTATACTATCACATTCATGTAAGTAGTGTATGAGCAATCATTAGAAGTCCCAGTTTCCTCTGCCCAAGCTCCTGATTCATCTAGATAGGAGTTTTTTTTCCTTAATTATACTTAATTTATGAAAAGAGAAGCTAATTTTTTATCTTTTTTATCATATTTTAGGTTAGTGACTCATACCAAAGATTCAAACCCATTTGTGGCTTGTGAATGATTACTTGCATATCAGCTTCTCTAGGTGTGGGTGGTATATTATGCATGCTGAAATGTTTTGAAAAAATTAACAAAGTGACTTGTCTTGATCCATTGTGACAGTGCTATTTTGATTGGGTATATTAAAAAAGAAAACATACACATGTTTTTGAGATCCATGGTTTTTAACTGCATTGCCAACTTTATCTTAAAAAAATGTGGTTGTCCTACATTTTAATTTGAGCTGATGTATATTTTTTAAGAATCTTTATTATAACTTATCTGAATCACTTCTGTGTTGTTTTATGAGTTGTAGCTTGCCTTTCTTTTATTCTAAATTTAATTGTGACTGTTGATAGTTTAACATGGATAGTGACTGTTGATAATTTGATGTGGATAGTGACTGTTGATATTTTGTCTGTTGATAGTTTGACATGGATAGTGACTGTTGATAGTTTGAGTTGTACAATGATTGTTGATAGTTTGACATATATCTTGACTGTTCATAGGTTGACGTGTATCTTGACTGTTGATAGTTTGACGTGTATCTTGACTGTTGATAGTTTGACATGTATCTTGACTGTTGATAGTTTGACGTGTATCTTGACTGTTGATAGTTTGACATGGATAGTGATTGATGATAGTTAGTCTTAGTAATTGTTGACAGCTTGACATTGTGATTATTGAGTTTGAAATATATAGTGATGGTTTATAGTTTGACGTGGATAGTGATTGTTGATAGTTTGATGTGGATAGAGATTGTTGATAGTTTGACGTGGATAGTGATTGTTGATAGTTAGTCTTAGTAATTGTTGACAGCTTGACATTGTGATTATTGAGTTTGAAATATATAGTGATTGTTGATGGTTTCTCTTATATAGTTATTGTTTGTAGTTTGTGTTTTATAGTAATTCTTGCTAGTTTGTTTTATATAGTAATTGTTGATAGCTTCACATTGTGATTATTGAGTTTGAAATATATAGTGATGGTTTATAGTTTGACGTGGATAGTGATGGTTTATAGTTTGACGTGGATAGTGATTGTTGATAGTTTGATGTGGATAGTGATTGTTGATAGTTTGATGTGGATAGTGATTGTTGATAGTTTGATGTGGATAGTGATTGTTGATAGTTTGACGTGGATAGTGATTGTTGATTTTTTGACGTGCATTGTGACTGTTGATAGTTCGACGTGGATGGTGACTGTTGATAGTTCGACGTGGATGGTGACTGTTGATAGTTCGACGTGGATGGTGACTGTTGATAGTTTGTCTTATATAGTGATTGTTGATGGTTTCTCTTATATAGTTATTGTTTGTAGTTTGTGTTTTATAGTAATTCTTGCTAGTTTGTTTTATATAGTAATTGTTGATAGCTTCACATTGTGATTATTGAGTTTGAAATATATAGTGATGGTTTATAGTTTGACGTGGATAGTGATGGTTTATAGTTTGACGTGGATAGTGATTGTTGATAGTTTGATGTGGATAGTGATTGTTGATAGTTTGACGTGGATTGTTGATAGTTTGATGTGGATAGTGATTGTTGATAGTTTGACGTGGATAGTGATTGTTGATTTTTTGACGTGCATTGTGACTGTTGATAGTTCGACGTGGATGGTGACTGTTGATAGTTCGACGTGGATGGTGACTGTTGATAGTTCGACGTGGATGGTGACTGTTGATAGTTTGTCTTATATAGTGATTGTTGATAGTTTGACATGCATTGTGATTGTTGATAGATTGTCTTATATAGTGATTGTTGATAGATTGTCTTATATAGTGATTGTTGATAGATTGTCTAATATAGTGATTGTTGATAGTTTGACATGCATTGTGATTGTTGATAGATTGTCTTATATAGTGATTGTTGATAGTTTGACATGCATTGTGATTGTTGATAGATTGTCTTATATAGTGATTGTTGATAGATTGTCTTATATAGTGATTGTTGATAGTTTGACATGCATTGTGATTGTTGATAGATTGTCTTATATAGTGATTGTTGATAGTTTGACATGCATTGTGATTTTTGATAGATTGTCTTATATAGTGATTGTTGATAGATTGTTTTATATAGTGATTGTTCATAGTTTGTCGTGGATAGTGACTGTTGATAGTTTGACGTGGATGGTGACTGTTGATAGTTTGACGTGGATGGTGGCTCTTGATAGTTGGACGTGGATGGTGGCTCTTGATAGTTGGACGTGGATGGTGACTGTTGTTAGTTGGACGTGGATGGTGACTGTTGTTAGTTGGACGTGGATGGTGACTGTTGTTAGTTGGACGTGGATGGTGACTGTTGATAGTTGGACGTGGATGGTGACT